CGCGGCGGTGGCGCCCGGCAGCGGCGCGGTGGCGGCCCCAGGGGCGCCGCCGGCGCCGGCCGTCGCGTTGAACGCGGCGGCCTCCGCTATGGCGGCCTCCTTGGTGAACAGGGGCGGCGGGAACAGGACGCGGTCGATGGCGTGGACGACGCCGTTGCTGCCCACGACGTCGACCAGGGAGACCTTGGGCGTCGCGTGAAAAGAGGCGGTGGGTTCTGAGCAGCAGTTGAGGACGAATCGCTCGCCGATGCATGGGACGGCAGCAGACAATCTTGCATACCGGCGGATTGCCATGGGACTTAGGAGTGGCCCAGGAATGTGTGCCCTGCGGGCACGCGCTGGCCGCGATGCCTCGTGCACTGCAGAGCGGACGCTGACTCCCTGCTACACATATCCCCCTCCCCATGCTACCAAGTCATATCCCATGAGCTTGGATGGCTCCAGGAGCGGGCGACTGCGGGGTCTTCTAACAGTCCTAATCCTAATCCTCCCCCAAAATGTACTGTGGTGCCTCACCGAGGCGCAGTTGATGCCACTGTCCGGCGCGCAGCTGCAGCGGCCGCAGGTGCGCTGGCAGAAGCCGCCTTGCCACTGCGCGGCCAGGGCGCTGGTCATGAAGGGGAAGTCGCACTTTTCAAACACCTTCTGCTCCTTGCAGGTGTAGTTGTCGGGGGTCGGCTTGTCAATGCACGAGTCGTGCAGCTGCAGCAACGGCGGGTGGGGCGACAGGCGGGGGGGGGTCCTGAGTTGTTGCAGGGGCTCAAGCGGCAAGACATTCAGAGAGGGTTGTGCACATAACTGCTTGGCAAACTCCTGCTGCTGCTGCTGCTGCTGCTGCTGCTGCTGCTGCTGCTGTCGGATTCAGCAAACAATTAAGAGCGTTTCGACAGCCGCTGGCAGCACATTGCGCAACGCCCGCCTGCGCGACTACTAGACAGGAAAGCCTTCCGGCATGCCTTGTTTAATGAGTGCCGCGAGTGCACGGCCCCGCCTCAGGGCACACCTTGATGGCGCCGCCGGTCTGGCAGCCGTCGATGAAGGGGACCACCTCCACGCCCTTGGCCGTGAAGACGGGCGTGTTGTTACGCAGGTAGGCTGGAGTGCGGGGTGGGAGTGGGGGAGAAGGGGTGGGGGCTTGCGTTTGTGTCCCCAGGTGATTGATAGGAGGCCAGCACATGAGTATCATGCGTCCAAAACGCGGGGAAGAAGCAGCGGGTCACGACTGTCTGCGTTGCACTCGTTACGGAAACCTAGGGACAGGTCGTGTGTGGTGGCTGTTGCGTTGCTACGTAGATAGGCGGGGGCCGGCAAGAGGGCATGCAAAGCTAGTTGCTCCATGCGGATGACAGCAGGTGGTGATGGATGGTCCCTCACTGCTGGTGAACATCCCGGGGAGTACATGGTACTGCAGAATGTCGACGAGCTCCAGCCGCGCCAGCAGTGCGCTCTCGGGCAGCTTTACGCCGCCGCCCATCTGGGTCAGCAGCTGGTCAAACGCGGCGTCCGTGGGGGCTAGGATCTGCAGGGTATGTAGCAGGGGGGAGCTGTGCGCCAAGGCCCGACCTCGCGTCAGCCGCCTTCGGCATACGTCGAGCCTCACCCTGGGGCTTGCGTGACACGCATGACTGGTGCCGCGGTCGGGCGCAGAGGCCGGCGGGCGCGGCAGGCAGGCTTGCTGGACAGCGACAAAACACTCACACCGCCCCCAGTCCAGCTTTCGTTGTCGAATTGCTATGTCGCATCGCTGTCAGAGAGAGCTCACGGTGTAGGGCCCCGCGGCAGGGATGCCGACGGGCGCGGGCTTTGCGGCGTCCGCGGGGGACGGCGACGGCGACGGCGGCGGCGGCGCCTTGTAGCCGAACCACCAGGGGAACTCGAGGTTGACGGGCGCCGAGTCGTCGTCGACCTTGGGGGCGGTGTAGGCAGGGTCGCTGGCGGCGGACAGCGCGGCGTCGAGCTTGGTCGCCTGGGCGCGGTCGCAATGTGCAGATTGCCGAAGCATTGGAAAATGGATGATGAGCGCAGTGCGAGAATGAGCACCCGCGTGTGCGGGATGGAACCGGGTGGAAAACCGAGGGCGGTCATCCAAGGCCCCTTGTGAGGCTTGAGGCCACCTGCTGGCCGTGGCAGTGCCAGGGCCCGCAGGCGATCGTGTGCGCGGCACAACAGCCTGCTGGCGACATGCCGTGCCCGCCCCCCTCCAAAAGGTCAACTACTTCCTCAATGTGCGGAGCCGTTCTCGCTGCCCTCAAAACCAGCCTATTATCTTTGTAGCACCCATCGATGCGTCACCCATTCACAGCTGATCTGCGCGTGTCCGACCGCCGCCGCCCCCACCTTGATTGCTGCCAGCAGCGTGTTGAACTGCCCGAGGTCCTCCAGCAGCTGCAGGATGTTGCGGCCGGGGTTGACGCGCGCGTAGGAGCCGTCGTCCTGGCGCACCAGCTGCGAGGAGAGCCGCAGGCAGGGGGAGCATGGCAGGGTATCGGTTGGTGGGGGCAACGGGCTCTCAGAATGCTTGGTGGCGGCATGCAATTGAGTGCAGCTGAGTTTACATGAACATAGTTTGGTACATCTCTTGTATATGTCATGAATGAACGCACGGTGCCTGATTACAAGTATTACTCAATAGCAGCACAGCGATATCATGGCACTGTTTGCAGCTGGGGCAGTCAGCGACAGACCTGGGAGCCGGCCGCCTCGTCGGTCCAGGCCGTCTCCGCGAGGGTGTTGTTTGCAGGGTCGGAGAGGCGCACGGTGGCACTGCGGCGGGGTGGCAAATGGCGCCGCTGTCGTCTACTGGTGCGGCATTGCACAAGCACGTGCTTGGGCAGCGTCCCCCCCGTGACGGATCCGAGGATGGGCGGGCCCATGCATAGCAGCAGGCCGCCCATTGACAACAGAGCACCTCTGGAAACAGGTTTGGCGCCTCAGGGCGGCTGCGCCGCGTTAAGAGCGGCAAAATACCAGCAATGCAGGTGGGCACGCGGTACAGCGGCGTGGCATTCAGCCAACGGCCTCACGTGGCGTTGAGCGCGAACGGGAAGCCGCAGGGGTTGGTCTCAGAGCGCGGCGTGAAGGTGATGAGTCGTCCCGGCTCGAGGGTCGCGTTGGCGGCGCACTCCCGGCGGTCTGCGATGTGCAGCACGTCGGACGAGAGGGGCGTGGAGAGGGTGTAGCCAGTCAGGTTGGCGGTCTTGGCGCCGACGTTGCGCAGGGTGACGGAGGGCGCCTGGTTGGGGCCTGGCACTGGCCTGATGGCCTGGATTACGACCTTGGCATCGCCGGCGCCCTGGCAGGCCTGCGGACAAGATGGAAATGTGGGATTTGTGAAGGATTTGTGATGCATGAAAGCTTTGGTGCCGGTGAGTGAGGGGCCACAGCGCTGTGCAGTTGAGGAATTGCAGTGCGTTGCCGGCCAGCACGGGTACGGGAGACTGCAGTTTGGGCAGGGCAACAGATCGCAGCCGCAGTGCGGCGCGGGAGGCTGCACACCTGCGGCGGCGGGGCGGCAGCGGCTGAGGGCGCGGATCCCGCGCCGCCAATGAGGCCCGTGAATCCAGAGTTTCCACCAGCTAGGCGGTCGAATTGTCCCTGTGTGGTCAGAGGCGGGGTGGTTGGGTTTGGAAAGGAGGCGGTGCAAGAAACCCACATTTCCACTCGAGGGCAGCAATAGTATGTGGAGCTGGTTGACGCGGCAAAAGTCAAGGTTTGTTGGTGGTGGAGGGATCAATCTTGTCACCGGACGGTTGAGGTTGGAAGTATTGCAAGATTCCACAGCTGCCAGCAGCCCCTGGGGCAGGGCGCTGAGGCGCACCGGGTTCTGAGCGCGCGCAAAGGGCGCCGCAGACAGTAGGCAGCCCAGAAATGTCAGCCCAAGGACTGAGATTCGTGGAATGATCCTCAATTGCATTTTGATGAAATGCCCAGCAGCGCCAATGGGTGGGGCGAACCGATCGAAGTCGAATCTAACCACAAGCCACTGACGGAGCTGGTGAACGAAAAAGTGCTTCGTCAATTGCAGCGTTGATTCTATGGAAGATTAAAAAGCAACTTGCAGTCATATACGATCCACTGCTCTTGAAAGAGACGCAGCTGCCCCTGATGTCGAGGTTCAACTGCCCAACCTCGTTCGCCTTTGGGAGCAGGTTGCACCGTCTTGCTTCTCGTCTGTGGGGTCCATAACACGTAGAATTTGATGCTAAATTTGCTGCGATGCAGTGCAGCTTGAACACCAGCAGTTGTTGCCCAGGGGTGCTGTTGCCCAATGCCCAAGTCACTGAGAGCCTCATTGCAAGCTCGCGTTTTCACACACATTCGGCCGCATGGCCGGCCGCATGGACGCGGGTGTCAGCTGAAAACGTGATAAAAACATGCCACATATGTGCACACGCAAGCATATCATCAAGCGCTTCGTTACACGCGTAAGCTGACTCGCGTCAGCACCATTACGCGCACGGGGCCGTCACACCCCCCTGGATGATCCAAGCTGCGTGCCCAATGCCTGGCTTTAGGCAGCGGTCGCGGGGAAGAACGCCAATGGGTACACAGCAATTTGCTGTGAAGAGCGATTACAATCTTGTGCTGTTTGTTGGCGGGCACCTGCTGAGGCGCAAACAAAGGTGCCTGACCCACCAACTCGCAATACTTAGACAGTATTGAACGAGTTCATGAGACGATTCAATAACTTACCGATCTTGAGTGGAAGCGCCTCGGCTTGGCAGGAAAAATTACACTCAACACGAAGAAAGACACTGCTTGTGTGCATAACACACCAACCCCCGCAGCGCTCATGTCATGCAGCACCCACGGCCGCGGCGCGGCCCACGGGGGGGTGCAGGCCCCAGCCCGCAGGCGACGGACTAAACGTTCCCGGTGTCCCGCTGCTGCTGCTCCCCATCCCTGAGCACGTCCTCCCACCGCCCGTCTTCCTCCTCATCAGTGGCATCACCGCGGCCCTCTCCTGCTGCAGCAGCGCGCCGCGCCTCAGGCTCCATGCGTCCCCCATCTGCCTGACCGCCGCCTCTGCTCGGCGCGATCGGCGACCTTGCTTTGGCTTCAAGAGCCGCCTGCTGTGGCCGCTCATTTGCATGCTGTATGGGTCCCAATTGCCCTTGGTGTGCATGCCCATGCTTGCCTTGCTGCTGCGCCTTCTCACAACGCTGCTCTTGATGCTGCTGCTCCTGCTGCTGCTGCTGCTTCTGCTCCTGCTGCTCCCGCTGCTCCTGCTGCTGCTGCTCCTGCTGCTGCTCCTGCTGCTGCTCCTGCTGCTGCTCCTGCTGCTGCGGCTGCTTCTGCTGCTGCTCCTGCCGTTGCAGCGCTGCCAAGTGAGCCAGCAGGTCTGCGGTGTCGTGCGGCAGCTCCGTATCTGATCGCTGCATGGTCCAGAACGCCGCCTGGTACACCGTCTTGTGCATGGCCCGCTGGTTGGCTGGGAGGGGTGAGGCGCGCAAAAACAAGAGAGCCAGGTTGGGAATGCAATATGGCTGATAGTCGCCCAGCTGCTACACATATCTCACTTCCAAGATGGCCTGGCAGTGCCGACTGCCACAGCGGACTTTTATGCCTAAACGAATTGATCCTCCATGCACTTTGCGGACGTGCACGCCCTCACATCAGCCAGCCATTCACCAACAAGCTTGCGTGGCTGCCCAAGATTGTGAACACCCCACCAATTGTCCACCGCAAGACACACTTCACACGCACACATACACAACACGAACAACTTCCACGCTTCATGCCGCTCTGCTCCGCGTACGACGGTCACGCGCATTCGCATCCACCCACCTATGTATGCAGCATCCACAAACTCGTGCCGCACCGCCTCAAAACCCATGAGCCGCGCCACCCGGTGCACCTCCGCCAAGGGGAGCTCCAGGCTCAGGTGCTCGGGGCCGGCGTCCGCCCAGTGCCACAGCAGGGGGCCCAGGTTGATCCAGTAGCCGCCAGGCCGCAGGACGTGGTGTATGACCTGGTCAAATTTAGAGTCAAAGTCAAAGTCAAAGTTGATGTCAATGTTGAAGTCATTGTTGCAGTCAAAGGGGATGGGTTGAGGGGCAGAGTTGTGCAATCAGCTCCACGAGGGGGCGCAAGGATGGCAGGACCGACTGGTGCTCGGCGGCAGACGGTCAGGTGGCAGTGTTGCTTGAGGGAAGCGCCGCGCAGCCGTCTGGACTCCAGACAACTCCGCGGCGAGCCGGGCTCGCCGCGGGCTGCACGCCCCCAACCCGGATTTCTTGCAAGCCGCTTGGGGTGGCCCCACTCCGCATGCGACTGCCCTCATCCCCTGCCCCCAAACAGCCACCAAACACAAACATCCCCGCCCGCCTGCTGCTCTTCCTGTGTCCTCTCCATCAACCAGCGACAAGCACTGACCATGGTGTTGTCACTCAGTCAGAGTCTACCTTGACATGCACTCAAAAACCCATTCGAAAAGACTGCTTCGCCACAAACACTCAATGTTGCCTGAAATCAATTTTTCATCACACCACTCAGCATTGCCCCACCTCCAAGTAGTCCAGCACGTTGTGGGCCGTGTCAATGAAAAAGCACGTGGCCACGCAGTCAAAGGACCCCCGCATTTCCGGCGCCGAGTAGACCTCCTGCGGGCGGTCGGTGCATTGCAGGGCAGAGGGGTTGGGGGTGCGAGATGTGCGGGCGGGAGGGCGTCCGAGGGTATGGACCAGGGTGCATGGGGGCAAGTGTGAGGCAGCAGCTCAAGGTGGACCGACACAGGCTGTCCGTGCGATGCGTGGCCCAGCATTCGACGCTTCGGGCTGGTGGGGCTGTGAGTGTCGGCACGGCAAGCAGGGGGGCCGCGGGTGGTGATGGTCATGGGCATGGCTCACCACAAAGTCTCCCGCGCACATGGAGAGCAGGCCCGGCTCGACCACCTCTGCTGGGTGCACATCCGGCACGGTCACGGGCCGCAGCTGCGGCCAAGACGGGCGGAGGGGCAAGCAGAGGAAGTCGAAACTTTTGCACGGGTGTGATTGAGATGCAGGGCAAGAGCAAGAGTCGAGATGAAGTGGAGGGGAGGGCGGCAGCCGCAAAGCAGGCACGGGCGCGTGTGGAATCGAGTGGGTACGTACTCGCGCGTGCGAATCAGCTGCAGGCTGATGGCGCAGGGGCTCTTCACACAGCATGCACGAATCTCAAGCGCCCCCAGGATTTAATTCACACCCGACCAATAAGCCAGGAACTCAAACCCAGGCCAAGTTAACACATACACGCTTGCAGGACAAGCATGCCCGTACGCGTACGCGCAGGCGCACAGGTGTGCAGGTGCCCACATATCCATAAGCACACAACACTGCCCGACTGCATGAGCATCTCGCCTGGTCCTCGTTGCTGACGTGGTTCAGGTTGGAGTGCAGCCAGGGGTGCAGCGTCCACTGGTCCCTGCACACCGCGTGGTTGAGCATGAAGCTGCCGCCCAGCAGCATGTAGTAGCTGAACTCGTTGCCCTGCGCCTCCAGGCCCAGCGCCGCGACCTCCACCATCAGGCGCGAGAGGCCGGCGCCGGGGATGAGCACGCGCGGCGGGCGCGGGCGCGCGTGCCTGGCGGGAGGGGGCGGGGCGGGGGCCACAAGGGCAGGAAGGGGGGCGGTGGTGTGGCAGAGGCACCCACCAGGACCATGTGTGACCTGCACGCTATCAGATCTCATTTCAGGCTTGTGACTTTTGTGCGGACTGGGCGGGCTGACCACGCATAGCAGCCGCCTGTGGTCGAGGCGAGGCCAAGGCCACGACGCACAATTCAGCACGCCCCTGCGCGCCTCCGCGGCCCCGCACCTGTCTGGGAACAGGCGCGCCAGCTCGCCGCATATCCGGCCGTACGACTGCGCGCGCTCGGCCGCGCCCTCCGCGCTCCAGTCGCGCGCCAGGTTCTTCAGCACGTAGCGCACCTGGGGGCGGCGCCGGCGAAGTGGTGGGGGCGGCAGCGGCGGTGTGACAGTTGCATTACCAAGCAGCGCAACGCCGGCTGGCAGCAAAGGCGGTCCGGGGTCTCAAGGTTTGAAATTCGCGCGCAGGTTAGCAAATGGAAAGGTCATTGCATGCCGGCTGGTGCCGCGGCCGCCGGGGTGCGTACCGTATCTGCGCGGCGCGCCGCATGTCGCTGAAACCGCACGCATCGATTGCAACCGCCCGACGCACGCAGCCGCCCTGCTCTTCGCAGCCCTCCCGCGACCAGCCCCGATGCCGACCGCGCCGCCGCCGCCGCCCCTCCTGCGCGTGCCGCTCCGCCCGGCCCCGGCCCGCCGCACCTTCTCTGTGTCTCCAGGCGAGCAGCCAGCGGCCTCCTTGGCCATGCGGTCGGCCTCGGCCGCCGCCCCTGTCAGGTGTGGCGGCGCCTGGTCCTCCTCATTGTCCTCTTTGAAGGCCGCGAGGATCGCATCAATCAGCTGCCGATTGGTCCTCGCCGCGCGCCGCGCAGCCGAGACCTTCTCGGCGTGCGGCGCCGCGAGCAGCGCGCGGTGGCGGGGCGGGAGGCGGGAGAACGTGGACTGCCATCTGCAGATCTCGGCCTCGGCGTCGGCGGCGTATGAGCGGAACGCGAAGATGATTCTGCGGCGAAAAAAAGGGAGCGGATGATTTTTTCGCGCGAATGGGTTGTGCCGGGCGGCGTGCATGGGGCCGGCGGGCATGGGGACGGCGTCGTTGGGCCGTATGTGCCTTGCTGCTGCGGCGAGCCTTGTCTGTGAAACGATGGGCTTGGGGGTGGTTCGCCCACCTGCCAAGGGCCTCGCGCTCTTTCGCTTCATCCTCAGCGCTGAACTTCTTGTCTGGAGGGCGCTGCGCCGACATGCCTCCTTGCTGGCCTGCCCGATGCTGTTGCTCTGCTTCACCAGGTGCGCCGCACACGACACGCACGCGCGTGACAATAATCAGAACCACAGGCAGCGCTCTGATAAGTTATGCGTATGCTTCTACCTCCCAGCTGCGCAGAACGAGCCGTCTATTCGGTGGTGGCCTGGTGATTGGCGGGTGCGAGATCACTTCCTGGTCGGAAGCGGCAACGTGCGTTTTGATTGATACAAGTGCAATACATGTGCACCACATAATTCATTCGACTGCTGACTAAGGGCGCGCTCTCGGCGTTGGACTCCCGTTGATCACAGCTAGGATGGCAGCGGACAAGGGTCTTGATGGCGCGGGGGCAGCTAATAAGCTTGCCGAGCAGGCGACAGCGAAGGCAAGCCGGGCACTGTTCACCGTTGGCACGCACGGCGGCACCGTGCGCGCGAGCCCTGCAGGTGTCGCAACACACACTTGATGCGCCATCACCGAATTGCGCCGGCGGAGACAGCAGCATCATGCCGTGCAGTTCCAATTGCCCTAGCCGCCGTCGGTGATGGGCACCCAGCCACAATCAGCACGGCCCCTCACAAGCACGCGCTGTGATGCTTCCAGAAGGAGCAACCTGCATGCCCACCCCCCAGCCGCGCCGCACGCCTGCGCCTGCTCGCCGCTGCAGGCCGATCTCAGCTACAGCTATTGGACTGCCAGCGCCGCCAAAGCGGGCACCAGCACGGTGGACCCCGGGCTAGCCCCCAAGGTCTGCGGCTTGGCCGGCGTGGCACCCCCGCGCTGTCTGCCTAACAAAGACTCAGAGGCGTCGGCGAAACCGCACGCACGTGGGGGACGCAGGGCGGATCAGCGGCGGGGCTCGGCCGCGGCAGGACGTGCTCTGCTGTATGCTAGAATCGTGCGCAGGCACGCAGCGCCAAGAGCAAGGCCACGCTCAGTAATTGCACATCTCCTTTGATGCAGGCGCCGGCATCCGCTCGGCCCTTTTCACGCACCCAAAACCCTGACGCTGCATTTCCGCGCAGAAGCTGAGTGAAGAGGAGGCGAGGGCCCTGCAAGAGCAGCAGCAGCGCGCGGCCAGCGGCGCAGGCACGTCTACTTCCGCATGGAACGCGGTAAGAGGCCGCAGCCCCGAGGGCGCCGGCTGCTGCGGGCGGCGCCGTTGCTCTGCAGACGAGGGGCGAGGGCGGCTGCGGCTTGCAGGGGCCGCCTACAACTCGTTGGGCGGCAAGGCAGCGCGGCGCGGCCGGGTCTCAGGCGCAGCGTGTTGATTAGCCTGATGATCAGGGGATTGGCGGTGGGGCCGCGTCAGCCTTGGCCACCAAACAGCAGAAGGGATCGACACGCTGACAGCCCCTGGACTCAAAGTTCAACCCAGCTGCTCACCACCGCCGTGGCCACCCTCTCACAATCTGACCCCCTTCCCCGATCAGGCGGGGACGTTTGAAGAACGGGACGCGACAGAGTGGGCCAAAGGCGCCCTCAAAGCCGCGCTCGCCGCAGCGGCGGGCCGGAAGGCGCGCATCACGGCAGTGACTGCAGTGTCCGGCCACGCCAACATCTGGTTCATCCGCGGCTCGAAACGGGCGGGGTTTGAGTTCGACATCGACGCGTCATGGGCCGTGGGTGACGCGGGGTCCGAGGTTGCGGGGACGCTCAAGTTGGTGGGCGCGAGCCCGGATGATCTGGACGACATAGAGCCGTCCGAGGTTAAGGTCGCGGACAAGAAGGCAGGCCGGGAAGCGGACGAGGCGGCGGCGATAAAGGAGGCGCGGAAGCTCGCGGGGCCCCTGCGGCAGGCGCTGGCCGCATTCTACGAGGAGCTGAAGCAGCGCTGATGCTTGAAGAACTGCTGCTGCCGCTGCTGCTGCGGCTGCTGCTGCGGGCACCTTCGCTGCAGCCGCTGCTGCAGCCGCTGCTGCCGCTGCATTGTAATTTTTTACCATTTCAAACGGTGCCGAGGCTGCTGCGAGGGGTGATGGCTTTTGATGAGTGATGCCTTATGGGTTGTGCCTCAAGCCACAGGATCCAGCAAGACAGTGAGACTTTGGATCACAGTGATGAGTGTGCTTGTGAACGGTGAGAGTGCTGGAATGATGGTCCTCTGCACCATGACTGCTTTGCATGTGGAACCCAGGTGTCGGCAAGGAGTCATGCCGTGATGGGATCATGCTTTGCCAAATGTGCGCTGGAAGGTACAGCTTGGGTAGCCAAGGGGTGCCAGGGCAAGTGCTGAGATGCTGGAAGTCTGTATGCATCACACCCATCGTGCTGAGGAACAATATGACAGTAGCATGCGCTGTATGCTGCGTCCATGACTACGGGCAGGTGACCACACTGCAGGGTCCAGTGACCGAAGCAATGCTGTCTCCCCGCTGCCCCCCTTGCGGCCAAGATAACAACTGAAAAATCTGTTCACGCAGCACCCAAGAGACTCTATAGATCTACGCCCCGCGGGTTTTCATTCTTGAAGTGTGGCGCAAGGTCTGTTGCAGCAATATGAATGAATCAAGGCGCTAGTGCGCACGTATTCTGCACCGACCGACGTGCACATGGGCAGCTCTCGCCCGGATGCGTCGCCTGGCGCGCCAAACGCGCCTGACCCCGCCGCGCCCCCAAAGCCTGGAGGGGCCCCCCAGTCCGACCGTGCCCAATGGATCCGCAGCCACCTCCCTGCCGGCCCCGTCAGCCGCATCGCCGCGTTTGATCCCGAGCCGCTGCGCTTGCCCGCCGTTGAGGCCGCTGGCGCCGCGACCCTGTTTTCTGAGCCGGCGTTGGCGGCCTTCAAAGTTGCCCTTCTGGAGGTTAGCCTCGGGCCCTCGGTAGCAGCGCCGGTCCCTATGATGGCCGCGGGCAGCGCGGAAACGGCCATCATGGCGCTGTACAAAGCCGCCG